ACGCGTCTCGTCGGGGGGTGGCGGCGGGTGGTGGGGGGGGGGGGCGGGGGTTTTTGGGTGTGGGTGTGGGTATTGATTTGATCTACATTCACATTCACATCCACACCCACACAACCCACCCACACACCCACACCCACCGGCAGTAACAATCCCATGAATGCATCACTAAAGAATGTGTGATATCAAAATATTTTCATTAGACTTGATTATGCAGCATGTATGATAAAAAATAATCCTGTTTGCTATAATTATGTTAGTAAGCTGCAAAATGTGAAACAAAATCAATTCATGATTTCGAATTCTTACTTATTCTACTCTTCTTAACAAGAGTTTAATATTATGACAAAAACCAGTTACACTCTCAAATGATTAAATCAACAACAACAATTTGCACATCTATGCCATCCATTGTTAGTGTTAAAACTTATTTTTAAAACGTCAAAAGTTGAGAAAATCAGCAAAAAGTTAAAATGGTTATAACTCCAGTTGTAATTATTGAATATTTTCGAATAATAGATTCCTAAACTTTGTGGACGTGGGTGTGGGTGTAACGATTTATGGGATCTAGACCCACCTTTACCCCCACACCCACACCCACACCCAAGAAAGAAATTCGTTCCTACAGCTTTGATATGCATTTGTTGATTGTTGAAATATGAGCTTCAGTCAGTCGCAAACAAACATGTTTAGGTTGAATCGATCAAATACGATCGTATTTCCTACAGGATTGAAGGCAAAAAACATGCAGTCAAATCACAGAAATTCGATATATAATCTTATTTTTCGGGTGAATTTACATCGATAAAACGCACATAACTTGAATGAGACGATCACTACTAGTTAAATGTGACTAGACTCAAGCTGACTTATACTAAAGCAATAGAAAAATATGTTGACGATAAATAATGTCTTCTAAGAAGCTGTTGATTTTTCTGCTACTCAAAATATGTGCTGTAAGAGAGATAGAACGAAAGTTATGGAAAGACAAATAAATACAAATCAATTCAGAATACTTCTCGCAGAAGAAGATAAACAACCGTTTAATTGTTCTTTTTTGGGTCAAAGCCTGACGAAGTATGCGTAATCGGTCATGCTGATGCAAATTATAAGCATGATTTTTGTCTCTACTTCTTCAAAGTTCCAGTTCTCTCCAAAATGAGTTCTCTAAAACGAAACACATACTTCGTCAAATTTTGTCTTCGGTCTATTTGGTTTGTAGAGCATCTCGAGTTACGTATAGAAAAATTTCTTCACAATTTGAATCATTACATGGAAGAAGACACGAAGACTAGAGAAGTGAAAGTCTTTGATTAGTATCATCTCTCACGCTTTTCCTTCAGCATTGTTATTTTCTTTGTTTTATTACTAACTATTCATCTTTTTATTTAAGGTGCTACTTGATGAATTTTCAGATTTCCTAAGTCAATTTTGATATGCTTTAATGGATATTATCATAACTTATATCTTCGTTCTTCTTATCAAATTAGTTTATAATTTCTATGTTTAAATTTATTTAGAACAATTTAGTAGTACCTTTTCTTTGTCAATTTTAGTCCTTTAGAATTCGTGTCAATAGCGGACAATATTATGATACAGCAAACAGTGACGATGAGAAACAAGTAAACGTAACAATTTCAACTGCTTGACCCCGTTACATGCGTTATTTTTGCAGCTAATTTAACTAATCTTGTTTAATCAAATCGTTTTTTTTTAATCAACACCAATGTCTATAATAGTGGAAGTGATAAAAACAAAACTAAAAACAAATCTTATATGCTTGAAACCTAACTTTAGATTCATGGCTACATAGTTAGCACGTTATACATTCTGGCATGATGATTGGTTTTTATTATTGTACCGAAGAACAGTTGAAATAAGATAAAACCCTTGTGAAGCTTGTTTTTCGTCATTTAATCTAAAAAAATCAGAATTTCGAGTTCTCTAACGAGTTATAGAGTGTATTACAGATGTTTTAATATAAGAACAGAAACAAACAGTGAGGGCATAATCATTTACATATGATAAATGAATAATTAGCAGTATTGGAAACATCCATGAAAATTCAAGCAAAACAAAACTTTTGCTTCATTAGCCATTCCTATAATGATTCAAAATTTGAAACCCATTCTACAAAGTAGATAGACCAACACAAAAAATTAACGAAAACAGTTTTTCGCTATAGAAAAATGGATTCTTGAAGGTATAAATATTGGCGTAAGTATGGGTTCAAGTGTTGGAAGAAATATTTCCATCATGTATGCCTGTAGATGCTTCTGGTTTGAGTCGAGCGACCAATAGTAAGGTGAAATTTTGGACGTGGTTCTTCTCTTCTCACACACTCAAACTTACTAATATATCTACGTATATCGATACTCACTCTTGTGCATACTCATTTTCAAACCCGCACACTCATCCTTTTCATAGGGAGGAGTCTTCTACGAAGAAAAGATTTTCTGATATATGGAGGTGAGTATTTGAATGCGAAAACATGAACTAGTAAACATTTGTCGTGCAAAGCATTCGCGTGCACTAAATATGAATCTATTTTATATCTCAACATCACTTTTTTAAATCATCACACTTGGCGTCTTCATACATCCACATCTGCATTTTCTACAAGAATGCATCGATCAGTGATTGCGTTTTTTTCGACGAAACTCGAACCTTTTGTCAAAGAAATTTTAAAGATTGTTAAAGTTACTGGCATTTATCTTTTGAAAAAGAAGCAAAGCAAAGCAATCAATTTTGACTTGTCTGTGCTACTTATTATTGATTACCACTTCATAGATTGGTAATAGATCATTTTATTGAAAAAAAGTACTAGTATTTGTGGACATTAGGCAACCAACATTTTGTTCCTACTGTCATTGTTCTGATATTGTCTCTATATCAACAATAACTGGAACGCTCAATTGAAAATCTGTAAATACTCCATGTGATTTTATTTGTAGTTTGAGCTCATAATGAACGGTAATATAATGCGAATAGCCATGAAATGATGTCGAAAATGAGGAAGTAGGTGTTAGATAAATATTAGGTACGAGAAGTTCGAAATTACGTTGTAAATATAATTCATTGAATTCGTTCAAATTGGGTAAATCAGCAGAAACAATAATTTCATTATGACGATCGAAAGCAGTGTGTCTACATTGCATGAAAATGGCTTCAATTCTTTTTATTTTCGATCGTCGAGGATTGTGAAGCTTTATTAGAAAAGAGAGCGTTTTACCTGGCACAATAACATCCTGAAGTAGGCAACATTGTAAACGGAGTTGCTTACGATTCTGATGAGTAAAGAATTGTGTCTCTTGAATATCGTTCATGTGATGAATATTCATACGAGGAGAAATCGTGAAAATATGTGTTTTTGTCATGTTTGATTTGTACCATTGTCTTCCAAGAATGACTTGAGTGTAGTATTTGATATGAGGATATGATTCATTGTTGGGACTTGATGATGGAGGTAAATTCTCTGGAAGACTAAATTCAAATGGCCATGTATATGTGCCACGATCAAGAATCATTTTCTGCTGAAGTAATAACAAAAAAACTAAATATATATTAACAATTCTATCAATAACTTCTTACTTGTCCATCGATAGGTCGAGCGAGAGGTAAACTAATAGTAAAGAATGGTATATCATGATAATCAGTGTAATTTTCTGTAGTGGTGTTCCCATTGATATCGGTAGAAGAACGGCTCTCTTGTGTCGTATAACCAAGTTCGCCAACGAGTTTGAGAATTATCTCCTCCAATTTCAACTGATTGTGATCATTTTGAAACAATATATTGCCCGATACTTGTTCACCAACAAAATAAAAACGGTCTGGTCTATTGAGGTTTACTTGAATAGCTATACTTTCGCTTGCACCCATTGTTGCTGTTAATAATACAGCTGTATGATGTCTCGAATGTTAAAAGGAAAACGATACACCTCTTTTATGAAAAAATACGACATATGCTATTCTTTTCTCTTTCGTAGATACAAAACGTATTATGTTTCGCACATTAGTGGATGATTTAAAAAATTATCGGTTCGTGTTTTCGCAATAATCGAATGAATGGATGAAGCAAGGCAAAATATGGGTGTGGGTGTGGGAGTGTGGGTGTGGGTGTGGGTGTGGGTGTGGGTGTGGGTGTGGGTGTGGGTGAGGGTGTGAGTGTGGGTTATGTTTTCTCTTAAACACCCACACCCACACCCACATTCTGAGTCTAGTTAAAGAATATGCTTTGTTAATCTAGAGTTATTATTCTTTTAAAAGATATATCTGCTCATTGAATATAATTCGAATATATATTCTCTTTTATTATATATAAACGAGTTGATGTAATGAGCAGTAATATCTGACTCACACACGTTCGCATTTGGTGTCATTTGATATTTGTTCTAATTGAACTAGATTCTTATTCTATAAAACCAAGTTCTTATTCACATGACATAAATTCAATAAATCATTTGAACACATCTCAAGAATATCCGCTTTATCTAGGAAAAACGCATTAAGAAGAGAGTGTTTCGATGCGTTTATGAAAAACGAATTTTCCAAGAAAAAACATAGCAAAAGAAACGCGTTTTAGCACGTTTGTTTAAGAAGATTTCTTTTCTTACTTGAAAAACGTATTTAAATACATATAAAAAAAGCTCGTCAGAATGCATAATATTAAACGCGTTGTAAAGATGTTTTTGATAGCGTTCGTTGGGGAGAGAAATGCGTTTTCTTATCACATGTTCAAGCGTTGTTTTCAGTTGACGTTTTAAGTAGAAAAAAACGCGTTGCAAATAAAAGCGATGCGTTTGAAGGCGTTGTGAATTGACAAGGATGCGTTTCAACGTGTTGAAAATAGAACAGCATGCGTTTAAACGAAAAAATAGCGACTTTTTACTAAAAGTTGGCGTTTGAACTCCAACTTTTATAAATTTTTTTTGCGGGAACACAAAACATTGATGTTTTCTTCTATTGATTGGCAACTATCTCATTACTTTCATCTANGTCAGGGTGTGGTTGGATGTGGGTGTGATTGTAAAGGGATAGATGATTGACGTTATAAGCATTCCTCATTCACATTAAGTTCGCACACCCACCCATATCCCACACTCACACGTACACCCACACCATCATGTCCATTTTTTCTTCGTTTAGTTCAATATTGATAAGAATGTCTCGATCTACATAAGTGTTTTGTTCGATAAATGTAACTATATAAGAATTTTCTCAATAACACCCGCAAATATGATGACAACAGTTTCATTTCCTATTCAATAATTTAATCAATGATATCAACATCACTAAGACCGAACAGAATTGTCTATGTATTTATTTCATTTTCTTGAGTATTCAAATGTACATTAGATGATGAACCAAATCTTGACTTTAGTGTTGTAGCGGTGATCAATAAAGCATATGATCTTATTTAATACAAAAAATAAAAAATAATAAAAGAGAGACAACTAAACTATTTCAAAGAAAAAGAACAATAAAGTACGAATATGTTGCGAAGTTCTGTCGTCATTCTAAATTCTCTTCTTCATTTATTACTTATTGTGTCATAATGGATACTGACTCATCATCATTTTCATTGCAATCAACTAAAAACAATTTAATAGAAGAAGAGATGAAACAAAATAAAATCAACACAAGTAAATGTAAAGCAACGCTAATACATATGACTGATAACGACGAATTATTATCAAAATCATTACAGGGTATCTGAAAAGTAGCTCCCTATTTTAAATCCTTGATTACTCTCAAACAATAAAAGATATTGTAACGATTTTTTCACTGTCTTGCGTCATGTGTCATGAGGTTTTGTTGTAGATGAAACAAGCCGTTTGATCGTTTGACTCTCTAAGATCCAGTTTGAATTTCGTTTTGACAATATCTAAAAAAACTTATTATTTTGTGTAGTTTATTATTCTTGTACTAGAACCCAGGATATAGGTGTGTCGGTTTAGGTAAACTTTTTTGCATTGTCCAAACACATATCACAACTCCACATATACACCCATATGCACATCCCACACCGGTATGCACACCCACACGCACACCCAGGTTCTAGTACAAGAACAATAAGCTACACAAAATAATGAGTTTTTTTAGATATTGTCAAAACAAAATTTAGACTGGATCTTAGAGTCAAACGATCAATCGGCTTATTTCATCTACAACAAAACCTCATGACACATGACGCAAAACAGTGAAAAAATCGCTACACTATCTTTTATTGTTTGAGAGTAATCAAGGATTTAAAATAGGGAGCTACTTTCCAGACACCCTGTAGTTTAACAATCAGTTTTATATGTCACATACGATCGAACACTTTTTGGTTATATGATTTGCCAAAATAAAGATTACAATATTCTGATCTCAATGAGGAACTTCCAACTTTAATTTGTTCACGATTACTATATTGATAAATTTCCAATGATCAGGATACCTCCGCTGTTTTAGCTAAATTCTGAAACAGTTTACTTGATAGCCAACATAACTGATAGAAGCTCGTTTGATCATGAAATATAATACTCCATCGATTCCAGCCCATTTTGTTATCTCTAATTTCTTGATAAGCTTTTTCATTTGGTATGTGCTCCTTTGCTCGATTCCTTCTTCTAGTATTGCTATTCTATTCATCACCTTCATATACTTCATTTCTTTTTTAATTTTGTGCAGTTATTTTAGCCTATTCTCATGAGACTTGTGCTGATCTGAATTGTAGAAATAAAATACAGTATTGGTTTCATTCTACGTTCGACAATGTTTCCGTACCACTCATTAATTTTAGAGATGTCAATGAATTTGGTTTGTACAGTCAGAGTACTACTTTTGTAGTATATGCTATATCATCCAGATATTCTTACTTCTGAATCTGAGAAGTGAAGCACCTTTGATAGTTAATTTTATTGTAAGATTATTTGAAAAATATTTTGCGCAATTATTATGAAAATTAAAAGTAGACAGAAATAATTTGATGTTTTCAGAAATAAAAACACGTTGCTTATTATGTCAATCAGCTTGTGGGAGAAATAGGCCGAGGTGGTTCCAATGCTGACGATACAGCTGCACAGATATCGCGAGGTGGATAATCAGAACAAACATTTCCCGTTGAACCATCAAAGTCGCCTGGAATGCCATCAATAGTTTCATAATTGAGATCGAATTTATGGCCACGAAGATGGCTGTTTACCACTATCAATCTACCACCCCATACACTTACACCAGCACGATAATTGTCGTATACTGCACTTGTACGTAATTCTATTGTTTCCTTGTTCTTCATTGCTACAAATCCATCACCATAGGTATCGTCTGATTTGGAACGTGCATTTTTAATCACACTATCGAGAACAGTAACGGCATACGAATTTGAAATGAAAACATTGGCTATTCGATTATTGTCAAATGTGCTTTCGACTATTGCCAGTGGACCACTAAGCGTATCATAGATAATGAGACCACCATTTTCATTATTTCGACACAAAATATTCCAGAAAATGAAAACACCATGTGTTTCACGTAGGATAAGTCCATTTCCACTGTCTAAAATGAAAATATCGTGAACTGTTGTGAGTGGATCCTTAATAAGACCTCGCAACTCAATAGAAAGCCACTGCGCTCGACTAACAACAACTCCAACAATGGAAATCTGAGTAAATCGATTGATCACACCATTTCCTATGTCTGTGAAAGTGCAATTGGAAATTTCGATCATGCCAGGAGGCTTTTCTTGATCGTTACGAGAGCCACTAATACCGGTTGTATTTTTTCCCGTAAAAAGTATGCCTTTGACTTGACCGCCACCACCATTTCGATATAATACAGCAATGTTGTTTAGCGATGGTTGGAATTTAACAACTTGATCCGAGTTTTGAGCAATAATAGAAACAGATTTCTTTTCAATAACAATTGACTCTGTGTAGATACCGGGTTTAATCAATATTGTTGTATGATTGGCCACATAGTTAATTATTTGTTGTAATGTTTGTTGATTGTCAGATGATGGATAAATAATGACAGTATCGTCACTACTGGCAGTTGAATAAAGTGAAATAAAACCGAATAGAAATAATGGGATTTGCATCTAAAATGAATGTGAGAATAAATAAATAGTATACATCGATATATGAAGAAAAACGAGACGAGCTATTGTCAATATGCAGTAAGAGAACGCTCATGTGAAGCAGCGCAAAGACGCGGCATAATATATGCGAGAGATATACAGTGGTGAAAAATCTGTACAATTTTTAAAATAAGCTTATCTTTTGAAATTTTGATACCTTCACAAAACTCGAAGACAACATTCATGTATCGAAGATAGAATTCATTGACTGGAAGTATGCAATATTTCCACTCGATGCACAAACTTATCTCTTGAACACGTGACATCGACAGAAATCAAGACAGTGAAGAAAATGGAAGTTACATTCAATGAAATTCCTTCTCATCATTTTGCTCATTGAAAACTGACCATATAATTGTAGCAGCATGATTAGGAACGATCAGTATTATGCTGAAGGCAGGAGTGAAGATACATGAAGTGAGAAGATGAAAAATTGTCATGACCGAGATATGAGTAGAAAAAAAATTGATACTTCCTTCTATTAGTTGAGATCGGAAGAAATAGAACGACAACGTAGCGGGACCAAAGTAATGGGAAATTGTGTTTATTTTATACTTTATTTTCTTGAAGAACAGCTTGATCAAGGAATCAATGATATCTGTTTTGACGATTTAAATATTGTGGCGAAGAAAGTGACATCATTCAGTAAAGCCCAAGAAGTGACATATCAGCTCTAAGCTAGTTGATCATACTAATTAAGACGAAGTGTTTTGCACTTATCAGTTTAAAGAAATAAGGAATCACTGTGTAGTTGTTATACTTTCTGAGTGTGCTGTGCGCATATACTATGAATGAAAGTGTTTTTAATTCATTGCTACTTGGAAGAGAGTTCTGTCGAATATCAAGAGCAATATTTTTAATACTACTATACCTTGTTTCACTGAACTACATTGTCTTCGAATATATCGTACATTTTTTTTACGAGTGAATGATTTTTTTTATCATCACTTGTCGTTGACAAATGATTATTCATCACATAAATATAGATATAGCGTTATTCAACATGCATCATATCAACAAAAAGGATATTTTTAGAGTGAAAACAATGGCGTCTTAATGACTTTAATTTCGATCATCCATTGTTACGACTCTACACGACTGTTTATCATTTCCACGTGTGTTTGATTACTAACTTAATCGAAAATAATTCAAAAACGAACACAAACCAATGATGTACAGGTGCGAATGAAGAACGCTCGCTGCGTTTCTATATTTATTTCAAACGTAATATTCGATGTAGAGAGTGAGAAAAGAAAAAAACAATAACTATGGATAATTTATCAATAATTCTCTCAAATAAAACTGATAAAAAAGGTTGGAACTGGACAAATTAGGAAGAGACATGTCAACGAACTTCATATCAAGCTAGGGTTAACATTCGAACTTGGTTTTTCATGAGTTTTCAATCGAAAAGCCTTTTGGAATCTTTTCAGTTCTTCGTTCAGCTGTCATTTTTGTTTAGTCTCAAGTCTATTTTTTCATTAAAAATATAATATTTTTCCTAACATAGGATTTACACTAACTACCTGTACGATTCACTTTTCTTATGTCGGACATATCATCCC